AAAGACAAACCTAATGCTCTATTACGAGCAAGTATAGAAACCCTAATCTGTAGGAAATCACCAGACTCGATCCGAGAAAGCTGATAAGCCTAAATGCTAAGGGTTGATGGCCGAGGAATAACTAAAATCTTGCCAGCTTTATCACGAGGGTTTCTAAGCCCTAACATAACTAAAAACATAAGTTTAACTCAATTCGAACACAAGTTTCTAAACCCTAGCATTAATAAAAACATTACTCGTTCCCGGTAAATCCTGTCTTGTTTTTTTTTTTTTTTTTTCACGTCCTCCTATGCCCTTGCTCACGTTTCACAACAGAAAACGCGATAGCATCGCTCCCGTCCACTAGCTCCTGCTGGTCGAATCACTGTACAAACAAATTTAAACCTCCACTAACATAACACAGCCGCTCTCTCTCTCTCTCTCTCTCTCTCTCTCTCTCTCTCTCTCTCTCTCTCTCTCTCTCTCCCCCCCACCTTCCCCCCCCGTGTGTCAATCCTCCCCTGCTACTGCTTGTCCAATCATCGTACGAACAAAGCTAAGCCTACGCTAACGAAGCCCAACCAATCTCTCTCTCTCTCTCTCTCTCTCTCTCTCTCTCTCTCTCTCTCTCTCTCTCTCTCTCTCTCTCTCTCTCTCTCTCTCTCTCCCCCCGCACTTGTGTCACTCCTCCCCTGCTCCTGCTTGTCCAATCATTCATCGTATAAACAAAGCTAAGCCTACATTAACGAAGGCCAACCAATCCCCCCCCCTTTTACTCTCTCTCTCTCTCTCTCTCTCTCTCTCACACACACACACCCCGACCCGACCCGAACCATCCAAGAAATATGGACTTACCTGCGGGCGAAAAGCGAATGACGTTCACGGGAGTCGTATGGTGATTGAGGCTCGCCACGTACTTGGCAAATGGGGTCCCTTTTTCGTCGTGCCCAACCTCCCATAACTGGCAGACAAAAACCAAATTATGGATCAACATAAATATCAGAGCATTCACTTCAGAGTGGATTAACATCACAGGGCATTCAATTCACAGTGGGGGGGTAGACATCAAAATATTCACTCAACACCTATCAGTCATGATGAACGTCCACAAGGACGGGAAAGTTCACCGGGGAGCAGAGGACCGAACTGGTCGAACGACGGAGCTTTTGGGCCTCGCTCCACTACTCTCGAAATGTGCAAAAAAGAGAGTGAATCTTCCGCTAGAACATGGAAAGATACACCACGATTGTGTCATTTGTGCATGTTGAGAGTAGTGGAGAGAGAGGCCCTTTTTCTTGCGTCGCTTTTCCTCACAAGTTTCGCCTTTCCAATTCCAAGTCCTCCCGCTCTTCTCTACTTCCAAAAAAATATTCAAGAATTGCAGATTTTTATTTCTTTTTTCAAAGCATGCTCGCATAGCAAATAAATAAATAAATAAATAAAAAACGAAAAAGTGCCAGCTTCAACAAAACAAAGGGGAAAAAGAAAGGCATCTCCGCATTAAAAATTTATCCAGAAAACTTGCGCGGACATAGGGTGAGATCCCATCCTAGTCAAGAAAATTCGACTAGGCGCCTGAATCTGGATACGTTTTATGTCGAGATGCAGAAAAGCAGAGCAATCGCAAGAATCTGCACGTCTCCACAAACACGTCCAGATTCAGGTTTTCAATTTCAGTCTCTTTGCAAGTGGGATTTCGCCCATACTCTTTGAAATTTGGAGTTCTATAAATCGGTGAATTGAAAACTCCTCACGGCTGAAAACTCCTCAAGGCTCTCCAAGGCAAAAATTTTCAGGGATTATACATATTTCGCTTCTTCCTCCCACTACTTCAGAAACGTTTTTCAGAGATTACAAATGTGTTCTCTGCTCTTAAAACGTTCCCTGCTCTCTCCTTCCCCCTCTCCTTCTCTCATTGTTTCTTCTCCTTTATTTTTCGTTATTTGTCTTTCCGTGCCCTTCATCTTTCGCTATTTCTTCGCTCCTCTCGTACGGTTTTCTGTCGATCTTCGCTCTTCTCCTCCTCCTCTTTACCTCTCTACTCTCCTCATCTCTAATCCTCTATACTATACTTCTCCTTCCCTCTGCTCTCCTCGTCTTCCGCTCTATACCTCTTCTCCTCACCTCTCCTCCTGAATACTATATTTCTCATCTCCTGTCCTCCTCTCTTCCCCAGATCTTCTCTTCCCCCTCTCCTCTTCTTCTCTCTTCCCTTCTTCTCTTCTCATCGCCTCCCTCTCCTTTGCTCCCCTCCCCCTCTCTTCTCTTCTCTTCGCCTCCTCTCCTCCTCTTTCCTCTCATCTTCTCCCTTCGGCTTTTCCTCTCCTCCTCTTCTCCTTGCTTCTCCTTCTCTTCTTTTCTTCTCCTTACTTCTCTCTTCTCTTCTTCTTGGCTGGTGCTACTAGGGTTACCTTCTTCACCCTAATAAATATAACAAACGGTCATTGCCGCTGCATTGGAGGCAACTTTCAGTCTCCGAACAGCGATTACAAACCATGCGTTCTATTCGGGTTATGACGCAAGGAAGATCGGAGAGACCTCCCCACCATCATGGACAGCAAATGTGCATCGACGATGGAACCCAGGAACCGTACGATCCGTACGATCTCGCTAACGACACGGTTAGTACGTCTGTATTCCGACGTCTTTCAGGTCACATACAGATTCCAGATTCGATAACTGAGCGAAGATCGAACCCAGGAACCGTACGATCCGTACGATCTCGCTACCGACACGGTTAGTATGTCTGTATTCCG